GATTGTGTATATTTACAAGGTTGGTGTAATGATTCAAAACATGGATGCAACATGCAATGACCAAAAAAAGGTAATTATCATTTGCATCTAATTAAGCTTTCACCATTTCTTTTCTTGAGAGATTTAAACTCCCTTTTTCTGATATTTTATAAAGAATGATTTCCAAAGATTTGCCTTCTACTCAGAGATTATGTAACTGCCTGTTTTCCACTATTGTCTATAACCTTATATAAGCACATATGGGGCAGGGCATATCCAAGGTGAATATTCATGGATGTCTGTGCTGTATGTTTACCAGGTACCCCAAACACAAAGGCAGATGCCTCCTCTGCCTCGCTGGCTGTCATGAGCAAGCAGATGTTCCCATGTGTTCTCACACAGTGTTCTCAGTAAAGGAGCTGTTGTCTAGAAAGGCTCTGAGTTGTTCTCTGACCTGCTGGAATCAAATTCTGTTTTTCCTGGAACTGATTCTCAGACTCACATTCAGTAAAAGTGCATGTGCAATTACTTGGACTTAATTTGTGTGGAAGACAGGGACAGGTATCCATCAGACAAAGTTTCATAGGACAATTTTGAGTGCCTAATTATTGTTCCAGGCTGGTGACCTCTAACAAGGATGGTTTAACACCTATGTTTCTGGGAATGCCTTTAGCTGAATATCTAAGACTGGGCCAGCGCCGCGGTACAGTAGGCTAATCCTTCGCCTTGCGGCGCCAGCACACCAGGTTCTAGTCCCGGTCGGGGCACCGGATTCTGTCCTGGTTGCCCCTCTTCCAGGCCAGCTCTCTACTGTGGCCAGGGAGTGCAGTGGAGGATGGCCCAAGTGCTTGGGCCCTGCACCCCATGGGAGACCAGGAGAAGCACCTGGCTCCTGCCTTCGGATAGGCGCAGTGTGCCGGCCATGGTGGCCACTGGAGGGTGAACCAACAGCAAAGGAAGACTTTTCTCTCTGTCTCTCTCTCTCACTGTCCACTCTGCCTGTCAAAAAAAAATATCTAAGACTGGTCACTTAAACGAAGCATGTATTAGATACCCTTGTAGTAGGCAGTCATCCACCAAGATGGTGAGACATTGTGTGCATGTGCTTGCTGCTGGACTTGGAGACCTCCACAAGACGTGCTGTTATTCTTCTACAGGAAGGCAATGTGAAGTGGTCCTGTGTGTGCATAACAGCTTTTCTACATGAATGGTCAAGCTATATTAAAGAGTCACGGATCTACCCAGCTATGAGTATTCAGGTCTCAGGCTTCACTGAGCACCCACTGACTCCAGGTACTCCTGTTTTCCATGGTAGTCATTGGGTTGATTGGTGAGGCACTTGTGGTCATGGCAGTCAAGGGAATAATTAACTGACAGGTTCATGATACAATGTATCATCAGCATAGTGATTAACAATTAAAATCAGACCACAAAGTGAAGGCAAGCAGGGAGAGAGAGACTGAGAGAGAGAGAGAGAGAGAGAGAGAGAGACAGACAGAGACAGAGAGAGATCCTAAGTGTATTCTAAGTTGTAGTCTCAACACCTGTCCTTGTCTTGTGTGAGTTTTCTGATTACAGTCTGGCTCAGAAGCTGAATCAGAGCCTTTGGTAACTGCTGAAGTTAAACTGGTTGACCAGATATGAAATGGCTGGCAACAAAAATTACACTGGCTGACAAGGCCACTTGGAATGTGTGTACAGCAGAAAGCAGCACCTTCCTCCTTTTCTGTTGTTTTGATTTAGGTGGTTCCAACTACATTTTAGCTTTGATTGGTTATACCCATAGTTCTTTGATACACCCGTTTATAAGTCACCAGTCTAATACACCCCAGGTATGTCTACTTTTAAATAAATAATATGTAAGCAATTTTGGATTACAACAGAGAGAAGACAGCATCAATGATAATTCCTCACAATATAGCACTTTAATATGATAAACTGTTAAGATAACATGGGTGACTGGTTATTAATTTTTGAAGTTCATTTATTTTTTTTCTTTTTTCTTTTTATTTTTTTGACAGGCCAAGTGGACAGTGAGAGAGAGAGACAGAGAGAAAGGTCTTCCTTTTTCCATTGGTTTACCCTCCAATGGCCACTGCGGCCGACATGCTGTGGCCTGCACACCACGCTGATCAGAAGCCAGGATCCAGGTGCTTCTCCTGGTCTCCCATGTGGGTGCAGGGCCCAAGGACTTGGGCCATCCTCCACTGCACTCCCTGGCCACAGCAGAGAGCTGGCCTGGAAGAGGAGCAACCGGGACAGAATCTGGCGCCCCAACTGGGACTAGAACCTGGGATGCCTGCGCTGCAGGCGGAGGATTAGCCTATTGAGCCATGGCGATGGCAAAGTTTTATTTATTTATTTGAAAGGCAAGTTACAGAGAGGCAATGAGAGAGAGAGAGAGAGGAAGAAAGAGAGAGAGCGAGAGCGAGGGCGCTTCCACCCTCTGGTTCACTAGACCTCGGCTGATCCAAAGCCAGGAGATCAAGAGTTTCTTCCAGGTCTCCCACGAAGGTGCAGGGGCCCAAGCACTTGTCCCTTCTTCTACTGCTTTCCTATGCCATAGCAGAGAGCTGGATCAGAAGTGGAGCAGGCAGGTCTTGAATTGGCCCCCATATTGGATGCCAGTACTCCAGGCGATGGCTTTACCCTTTACGACACAACACCAGCCTGGGGATTGGTTATTGACTATGAGAGGCTTTCCATTTTGCAGAAACTGACTTAGCAAAAAGAGCTTCCAGAGTTCCATAGTGAGGTGCTGTTTTGGTTCTTTGAATATTGGTGAGAACCTAGGGCATCAGGAGCACCCAGTGACAGTGCGTGGAGCAGAAATGATTGGAAAGAACTGCTCCACTCTTTTTGACACTAACTTGCCATGCTTATCTTCAAGCATTCTTGAAAAGTGGGGCTGGAATGAAGGCCCAGCCACTCCACCTCCAATTCATCTCCTCTAATGTGCCTGGGAATGCAGCAAACGATGGCTTAAGTATTTGGGTCCCTGCCACCCAAATGCTTGTGGTTTCATCCTGGCCAGCACCATCTGTTGCTGCCATTTGAGGAGTGACCCAGTGGATGGATGACCTCTCTCTCTCTTTCTTTCTTGCTCTGCCTTTCAAATTAATAAACAAATCCTTAAAAATTAATAGTGAAACGAGACATTACAAACATATAAATACACACAGTCCTGTTAAATAGCTATAGAAAAGCAAATTTCTTACATAAACTACTCAAAACCCAAAAATGTCAAGTTAAGTTTTTCAGTTTTCTTGACAAAATACTAAAAGGTATTTTGAATTAAGTTTCTTGTTTATAATAGTGGTCTAAATATTTCACACTAGAAAATATTTTTCCCCACGAACCTTTTATTTAAGGAATACAAACTTCATATATTTCTTTCTTTTTTTTTTTTTTTTTTTTTTTTTACAGGCAGAGTGGACAGTGAGAGAGAGAGACAGAGAGAAAGGTCTTCCTTTTGCCGTTGGTTCACCCTCCAATGGCCGCTGCGGCCAACACACTGCGGCCGGCACACCGCGCTGATCTGATGGCAGGAGCCGGGTACTTATCCTGGTCTCCCATGGGGTGCAGGGCCCAAGGACTTGGGCCATCCTCCACTGCACTCCATGGCCACAGCAGAGAGCTGGCCTGGAAGATGGGCAACCGGAACAGAATCCAGCGCCCTGACGGGGACTAGAACCTAGTGTGCTGGCACCGCAAGGCGGAGGATTAGCCTCGTGAGCCACAGCACCAGCCCCATATATTTCTTAATTACAGCTTTAGTGACATGGTGATTCTTCAGACTGTACCTGCCTCCCACCCACTCTCCCACATTTATTCCTCCTCCTTCTCTTATTCCCATTCTTATTTATTACTAAAAATATTTTCAATTATATATATACACATACACATATATATGTGATTAATTCTATGTTAAGCAAAGAGTTCAACAATAGTATGGGGGAAAAAAAAACTGTTCCACAACAGTCGAGACTAGGGCTGTTGAAAGTAATTGCTTCTCAAAGTGACAATTTCACTTGTATAGATTACCTCTTAGGTGCCCTATTGTTTATCACAGGTCAGGGATACCATATGGTATTTGTTGATGTAAGGCACTTAGTCCCTTAACCTGGCTGCAAGAAAATATTTGGCAATGTTTTCTATCCAGTTCCCCTGTTTATTTTTTTTGTACTTGGTGAATTAAAAGGTGGTGTAAAATGATTTGAAAAACCAATGAAATACAAATAAAAATTGCATTTTTTTTTTTTTGGACAGGCAGAGTGGACAGTGTGAGAGTGAGACAGAGAGAAAGGTCTTCCTTTGCCGTTGGTTCACCCTCCAATGGCCACCAAAGCCGGCGCACCGCGCTGATCCGATGGCAGGAGCCAGGTGCTTCTCCTGGTCTCCCATGGGGTGCAGGGCCCAAGCACTTGGGCCGTCCTCCACTGCACTCCCTGGCCACAGCAGAGAGCTGGCCTGGAAGAGGGGCAACTGGGACAGAATCCGGTGCCCCGACCGGGACTAGAACCCGGTGTGCCGGAGCCGCAAGGTGGAGGATTAGCCTAGGGAACCGCAGCTGCCGGCCAAAAATTGCATTCTTAAATATGGAAGTTAAACTATGTTCTCTACACACCTGCTAAAAGTTATACTGTATTCATGATCATTTATTATTCAAAAGAAGCCTTCCAGGAACCAAGCAGCAAGTAAGATTTTTCTGGAAGAAAACAGAGTTTATGAAGGAGCCAGGATTTGGGGGTCAGTCGGCAGCAGTTGATGTCACTTTATAAAATTTTAAATCAGGAAAGGAAGAAGAACATCAACTGATCCTTGCGACCTTGGCGTGGGAAGAAAGGGAAGGAGGGATATAAACTAAACCAAAAGCCCCTCTGGGTTGCAGTCTGTCTCCACCGCCCCAGTCTGAAGCTCTTCCTTGGGGACAGGAATCTCAAGGGATGCCCGGGCGTGGACTACATTTCCCAGAATCGCCAGCGGCCCTGACGTACTACGGCTCCGCCGGCCGGGGCTGACTGTGGGGGAACGTCCGTTGTGCGTGTGTGCCCTTGTGGCTCCGGACAAAGGAAGTCGCGTTGAGGAGATCCGTCCCGGGAGGCTCCTTCTCGCCCCAGGCAGTTTGCAGGACACTCCCTCAGCGTGCTTCCAACGGATCCGGCGTCTCTGCATCTGCCCACTGTGGCTCCCACGTGCGGCGAACTAATGCCCACACTCGCCGCTTTCCTCCCCGCGTCTCCAGCAGAGAGGGGCCGTGCTCCCGGGACTTTTCACGGTAAGTGTGGCGAACAGGAGGGGGCGCGGGTGCGCTGTAGGAGAGGGTGGGTGCGCGGGCGGCCGGTGGTCCCTGAGGCGGCTCACCCCGGGCGAGGCTGGGACCCCGACCCCGTGCTGTCGCGTCTCCAATCGCTGCTTCCCAGACGCTCCGCTCCTACCCTGCTCAAACTTTCCTTAGTGTTCTTTGTAGTGGTTACCAGAGGGCGCCGGAGGGGAGAACTGCCGAAGCAGGGCAGGCGTGCGGACAGCGAAGGCAGACAGCGAACCTCCCGCTCCGTATTTCAGTCAGCCCGGTTCCCACGTCGGTTGGGTCGCCGAGCGCGTTCTGGCCGTGCCTCCCGCTCTATCCGCGGTGGTTACGGCGGGGCGGGCTCGGTGAGGCTCTCCTGGGATCCTGAGGCGGCCGTGGGGGGGCGGGACGGAGGCTCAGACAAGGATCTACCCCGCTGCCCCTAGGCTGCGTCCTGTCCTGCGGGGCCAGTGGGGTCCCCGCGGACACACCTTGCAGCCCGGCCCCCGCAGGCTTGGCTGTTTCCCCACGGGAGCAGTGCGGAAGGTGCACAGGAGCTTTGTGGATAGAGGCTTCTGAAGTGTTTTGCAATCTGGAGATGGAGGCCATGCAGACACAGCTGATGATTTATTTGGCTGCTTTTCAAATTCTGTCTTCAGCCCTGCGTTCCTCTCATTAGCAGGGATGTCGACTGTTATTACTGCTACTGATCTTTGCGAAGTGAGGTGGGGGCTGAAGCTAGTGCAAGTCTACTGCGTGGGTAAATAACTGAGCTATTTTAATCTAAATTTGCATACAGTGCAGAACTAAAAAGGTGCACACAGAAAAGTAATTTTTTCCATCTGCCCAGTTCTTTACGGTTACCCCACACTCCACACAGCTGGTTATCTTGCAGTTTATTTTGTTTTAATTAAGAGGACTAGTTACTTTTCTTATTTTGGGTTCTGTGTCGTAAGTCTGTAACATTTTTGAAATTGGGAGATTATTAGCTATAGATTTTCATAATGTCAGTGGTCATCAGAAACCTCTATACAAGTTGTTAGTGCGAGGAAGGGTAAGAACAGAGAGGGTAAAGAAAAGAAGTGTCCCATGCCTACACAGTGGAGTAAAGATGTCGCCTTGAAAACTATTGCTGTGGCCGGCGCCGCGGCTCACTTGGCTAATCCTCCACCTGCGGTGCCGGTTCCCTGGGTTCTAGTCCCAGTTGGGGCACTGGATTCTGTCCCGGTTGCCCCTCTTCCAGTCCAGCTCTCTGCTGTGGCCCGGGAGTGCAGTGGAGGATGGCCCTGCACCCGCATGGGAGACCAGGAGAAGCACCTGGTTCCTGGCTTCGGCGCAGCGCTGGCCGTAGTTGCCATTTGGGTGTTGAACCAACGGAAGGAAGACGTTTCTCTCTGTCTCTCTCTCACTGTCTAACTCTATGTGTGTAAGAAAGAAAGGAAGAAAGAAAGAAAGGCTGACTTCAGTATAATGTTTTCACCTGAATAATCATGTTTGAGTGATTCACATGTTCGAGTGTTTGGTGCTGCTACCAGATTACTAATTTATGAAACTTGCTTAGCATAATGACTGAAAAGAGCTGCTTCAAACCTTTGAAACTATTCTAAGCTTACTTTCTGAGCAACCATGTTGTGTGCCCATTAACATAACTTGGAAACAACCAAGAATAGGACTCCTAGACTCAAGCTAACTGCCTGTTCATGGCAGATCATTCCCTGCACTGCTCTAAGTTTCTGGCAAGTTATTTAAAATTTGGGAGAGAGAAGTGTTCCATATGAGACATATGATCTGGTAATTTGGCAGTGATGTCTTTAAGGAAAGTGCCATATATGGAAGCAGTCTGATGGTGTTCATTCTTCTTTCCATTAATGACAGTCACTGATGTCTGGTACTGGATGGGAGAAGAGAATCCTCTCTCTGAATTGCATTTAGCCAGGAGGATTCATCTACGTTTATCTAAGGTCTCTGTGTGGGAATAACCAAAATACTGCATTGTGCAGGTAAATTTTTTTAAAAGGAAGGGATAAATTTTTGAGATGACTCTTGATGTAAAGATTATAATTTGTAGTAGATGATGATTTTTGGTTATAAATTGAGGTTCATTACATTTAAAATTAGTGTATATATTTGAATTTGTGGAGTCCTAGTATTCACTTTATGTTATCCTTGCTTTTGGTAAATAAATTTTCTCCCATCTGTCATCAAAATTTAAAGATTTACTTCATGTATTTGATATAGTGACAGAGAGAAAAAGAGAGAGACAGAGAGAGAGATCTTTCTTCTGTGATTCGTTCCCCAGATTGGGCCAATGGCTAGGGATGAGCCAGGCTGAAGCCAGGAGCCAGGATCTTTATCCAGGTCTTCCAGATGGGCGCAGGAGTGAAGGACATTGTTTGCTGCTTTCCCAGGCATATTTAGCAGGGAGTTCTATCAGAAGTGGAGCAGCTAGGACATGAACTGGTGGCCATAGGGATGGTAGCCTACAATACCAATCTCATGCATATAAATGTTCATGAAGACACTGAAAAAGGTTCATGGAATTTGGAGTAAAAAGATGACATTGTTTTGCTGTAAAAATTGAAATCCATTCAAAGTTTTTTTTCATAATACATGGTTTACACATTTTTCAAGCTTTCTTTATGCAGGGCTTTCAAAATTTATTGCAGCAAAGCAACCTTAATCATTTAATTCCAGTTTTTCGTGATACTTTCTTTTAAAAGATTTATTTTACTTGAAAGTCAGAGTTACAGAGAGGCTGAGGTAGAAAAAGAGAGAAAGAGAGTGGTCTTCCATCCTCTGGTTCACTCCCCAGATGGCCACAATGGACGGAGTTGTGCCAATCCGAAGCCAGGAGCCAGGAGCTTCTTAGGGGTCTCCCATGTGAGTGCAGGGGCCCAAGGACTTGGGCCATCTTCTACTGCTTTCCAAGGTCATAACAGAAAGCTAGATTGGAAGTGAAGCAGCCAGGACTTGAACCAGCACCCATATGGGATGCCAGCACTGCAGGCTTTACCCACTACGCCAGAAAGCCAACCCCCATGATACTTTAAATTGCCCTTGTATATATGCATATAGAAGTTTCAGAAGAGAATATATGAAACTTTTAGGAGTAATGTGTTCTGGGAAGTATGACTAGATAGAAAGAAGGGAGTAATGCTTTTGTTTTATGCTCTTCTGCAGTATTTAATAGTTAATATGTGCACCTTATTGCTAAAGGTGCATTTTTAAAAGGTAGAGCCTCACAGAGAGACAGGGAGAGAGAGAGAGAGACAGAGAATCTTTAATCTGTTGGTTCTTTCCTCAAATGGCTGCAGTGGTCAGGGCAGGGACAGGCTGAAGCCAGAAACCTCACGGTCCATTTGATCTCCCATGTGAGTGCTGGGATATCTTCTGCCTTTCCCAAGTACCTTACCAGGGAGCTGGGTTGGAAGTGGAGAAACGGGGACTTGAACTGGTGCTCTTATGGGATACTGACATTGCAGGCACTGCCTTAATCCAGTGTGCCATAATGCCAGCCCCTCAGTTGACATTTTGAAGTTGCATCAGTGCCTCTGAAAATACACAATCTCAATTTACAAGGGAAATGGAAAGAAGTTTCTTCTAACTCCAGTTGGTTCCGGGGACCTTTATTGGACATCATATTGGACATCAGCTCTGACTAGATTGATAAGCCATGCAAAGAAGTCAGAAATTTTGTTAACATTTTGTTTTAAGTTAGTGGTGATGAACATGCAACTTGTGGGACTACGTGGTCCCTAAAATCATTTGGTTTGGCCCTGCCGAGGCAACTACAGCTGGGACTGGATAGTCAATAAATCTATAGCAGGCCAATTTTTTAAAAATATTTATTTATTTATTTGAAAATCAAAGTTAGAGAAGGAGAGGCAGAGAGAGAGGTCTTCCATCCGCTGGTTCACTCTCCAATTGGCTACAACATCCAGAGCTGCACCAATTTGAAGCCAGGAGCCAGAGCTTCCTCCGGGTCTTCCTACACGGGTGCAGGGGCGCAAGAATTTGGGCCATCTTCCTATGCTTTTCCAGGCCGTGGCAGAGAGCTGGATCAGAAGTAGAGCAGCCGAAACTCAAACTGGTGCCCGTATGGGATGCTGGCATTGCAGGCAGCGGCTTTACCTGCTATGCCACAGCGCCAGCCCCAACAGGCTAATATTTTAGTTGGTAATTTTGTATGGCCCATGAATGATGTTATATAAATATCCAAAGGGCCTTGGCAGAAAAATGATTCAACCCCTGCAAAATGTTAATAGCAACTCAAAGGCAGTTTACAAATCTATTTAAAATTGAATGAATAATAACAAATACTAATCCTGTGAAAGACAAACATTCTAGAGAACACATGGCAAAGACACAAACTGTGCATCTAAATACTGTCTTTATTCCTTCTCAGAAAAGAGAAATGGGAATCCTGTGTGATGAGAGAGGCAGTGTACATCAAAAAAAAGTGCTGCTGATGTTGGCTCACATAGAACCTGTTTCTGGAATCAGATGACACATGAGGGTGCATGTTTATGTCTGGCCAGTGTGTATAAGGTATCCATGTGTACAGTTTGTAGCAACTCATATGCACAGCTGTTCTTATCTAGATGTGCATGTTGTGGGGATTCCTCAGTGTCAGCTCCTTGTTAGGGGAGATGAATTGGGGGTGTGTATACGGGGGGCCATAGCTCAGAACTACTCTGAATATCAGGCCTGCCATGAGTGGTGCTTCTTTAAAATACAGATCACTCACGTATTCTATTGGATGACTTGGCTTTGCAAAGCTCATTTCCCAAGCAGTATTGTGTTTGAAGGTTTTTTGTAAGTTGTTTTTTTTTTGGCTTGGCTCAGGTGCATTTCATCTGGAATGTGTATGGATGCAAATGAGGTATGTGGAGATCACAGGAAGTTTTCTGCTGATTTTGCTAAGTGACCATGGTCTGCTGCTGCTGCCCACTGGCACCTAAAGCCTGTGATGGCTCTCATTTGAGCAT